GCTTCAATTGTTTGGCGCCATTCCCTGTCCCTCAGCGTGGTTGGTGCCACTTGCCATTCACAGTTCCTTGGGGTTCTTCCATAGATATCCACAGAGACAATTATGTGGTTGTTTTCAGCATTTATATTGACTTTGCTTTTGGACATCAGCGGTCTGAGGTTGGATGACACCAGTATATAATCCAGGTGTGAATCAGCCTGTGGGTTTCCAGCAGAGTTGTATGTCCATCGTGTTAGGTTGTCCAGGTCATCGTCCTCATCATTGATCATGAGGCACATCCCAAATTTGACTAGGTATTCTAACATCCCATTGGCCTTCCAGTTGGGACTTTTGCTTGTTTGGAATATATCCTGACTCACATTTGTCCAAATGTTTAGGTCTCCTTCTATAACTGTCATCACTTCGGCTGGTACTTCCAATAAAAATTTCCAAAATATTCAATTTTTGTGGGGCTTCAGCAGAGTGTATACTGCCACCACCCAAAGGCTCATGCCAGTTTCCCTATGCATAGCGGTCACTATCAGGATCCTTCCTGCGTGAGTTTCCTCCCTGAATTCCAGGTCTATGTTCTTGTTTAATGTGACAATCGCCACATGATCCGTCCAGAGCGCATGATAGCCTATTTGGGGGGACCATGGGTGATTCTTCGCATCATGGATTGAGCTCAGCACCATTTCCTTTTAGCAACCTGCTTGCATTTACAATAATAAATTTATGTCTATATTATTGTTTGTTTTGAAATTGTGTAACTTCCGCCTTTTCATTTGTATTCTCGCCATCCCCCAAGCATTTGTGGTCACAACCCTCATTTCTGGATGCCCAACCCATGAGTATGAGGATTAATATTTTCAAGGTTGTGAATTGAGTTATGGACGGAAGTTTGTTTGTTGATGGTCAGTGTCACTGAGGGTGGGTAGGGGGTATTGGTCAACCTTCAGGGTCGGTTGGATGGAACTGGGACTGTATTACTGGGCATCCTAAGCACTAGAAGTTCAGTCACCATCTCTGTCTCCTATTGATGGACAACAGGGATGATTTAATTACCAGCTCTGGGTACTCCATAGTCCCTACTGGCGGAGCGGCAGATTCCCCCTCATCCATCAATCAGATTCCTGCCCCTTTGTTCAATTTTTGGTGGATCTGGCCTTTTTGGTCGGAGCCCAATTGGCTGACTTTGCTGATTGCATCAATTCAGGTGTTTTATTGTTAGTCTCTTCAGGTTTGTTTGCTGACAATTTCTGTGTTGACTTCAAATTTGCTTTCGACTTGTCAGGTTTGGGTTTCAATTTATTAGAATCTTGTGCTGCCTATCCCTTCTTGGTGGATTTTTTGGGTTTTCCTTCTGACATCTTTCTTCCTTGCAGATCATCCAAACCACTTAGGATGGGTGTGGTGCCTTCAGTTCAAGGCTCGTTCCTTCATCCATTTTATACAATTTGGAATTTGGGTTGATGAAGGGCTCATCATCTGCTTCAGGTCACTTGGCCACTTCTCATTCCCATGCTTCCCTATAGGGAGGTCCAACTCTTGCTGTTGGCCTTTTATGTCCACGACCTCCATTAGGTTCCACAGGATCCATTCTTTGGCTTTTGGTTGAAGAAATGTTTTGGCACCAACCTTCATGATCCCTCCAACGGGGTCATATTCATACTCTTGAGGGGTCTTTCCCTTACAATGGTGGCATTGGGCCATTGTATGGCAGGTCTGGTAACAGAACTGGCATAATTACTTCACATCTTCCTGCTTGATGTACATGACTCTGCTTAGGCCAGGCAGGTGGATAAATTGAGGTAAGGCGATTTTATTTAGCTTCATCCATGGGGCCAATTCATACAGACTTTGCCTGTGTGGGGGTGAAAGCACTTTTTGATGTAATCACTACCAACTTGCCAAAATTCTTATACTTCCCCATAGTATGATAGTCTGTTCCAGATTTTTTCATGCACCCATTCCCTCTCCCAAAGGTTGAGAGGTTTTGGAATGTCATCCACCATGCGGTTTAGTTGGTGTATCTATTTGGTTCCATTTGCAGATAGACTCCCTTATACTTAATTCCAATCGAGGGTTTTTTATGTTTAATTCTCTTGGGATCATGATATCCATATAGTCCCGTTTGTCACCCAGTGGTAGTTAAAGTCTCCACCTGCTAGCACCTCATCAAGCTCCTGATAAATTGCCATTATCAGGTCGTACCACTCCTCCTCCACCAGCTGCAGGTGCATGTGGATTGCATCCTTTATATATCACTTATGCGCTTGGTGGTCTGTGAAGCCTCTGATGATTAATTGACAGATTTATTCAATATGGCTTACAGCCCCATTCCATGTGTTATTGTCAGTATGGGCTGCCGCAGCGCTGTACAACATTGATTTCATGCTTGGCTTTGGTAATTTGGTGGGGGTTTCCCCCTTCATTATCCAGCTTACTGACTCATCAAGGCTAAATCCCCAATTGAGGAATGATTCTATCTGGTATATGCTGATACTGCAGCAATTAATGCTCCTAGCCATTTGCACTCCAATCTCAAGGTTTTGCCACTTGAGGGCATCCTTCAGCGAAAATCCCAGTCAGTACTATTTGAGGGCAGATTCTGGGCCAAACATTGGGTGCAGGTATTTCTGGAGGGCCTTCAGCATAATCAAACTACGCTGGCACCAGTCCCTTACCATAATGCCGTTCCACCCGCCATCTGTGAATATTTGTGCCATGGCAGCCAGAACTCCTGCCTCATACCACTGAAAGACTTCAGAAGATGTGAAACCTTCAGCGGCATATGGGGCAGCTACCATTAGTTCTAGGAAGGATTGTTTCCAATCCCAGATGGTTTTATTTGGATCCCCGCTTTGAGCCATTCTCAGCCCAGGTCCAGGGTCATGACCCCTTTCATCACTGATGCCACCTTTGATGAAATCTCATGTTCCATCCACAGTCGGGCCAACTCTGTGGTGAACCCTGCTGCATCCCAGTCTGTGGTTTGAGCTAGTGTGGCGGCATCACACCAGAGTCTCCATTCCTTGATGGGGAAAGGTCAGCACTGAAGGGTATCATGAATGGGTTTCATGACTACCAGATCTACCCATTCATGAACTTGGTCAATACTGGCTCCCACGCAGAACCAGTAGTTTATTTCCAGCAGGTTGAATCTGCTAGCAGACCAGTTAATGGGCTCTTCTGGTGACCAATACTGGAAGGGTCCCCACTCTACCACCTTCTATTTCGTCCAGACCACCTTCATTAATTCAGATGTGGTGGCCGTCAGGATTCAAGTGTATGACCAGTGTAGGGCCTCGGTGGCCTTGAACTCAGCTGCAATTTATGGCAATGCCTCCTCTGGGGAGAAAGAGGTGGTATACCATTACAGTGCAGTATCAACTGGAATGATATGTTGGTCCCATTTGAGGTAGTCAAAATGTTCAGGAAACAATTTCGCATAGTCAGATAATTCTGTTGGAGTGAGTCCCAAGCTCCTGACAGCTTGGGCGAATCCCGCTGATATTCCATCCTTATTGTATTCCATCGCATTAAGGAGCTCAATACCAGCTTCCATCCAAGCCTTTATGTCCTACAGCTTTAAATCTTCTTGAACTGCAGCTTCAATAACTTTATACTTCTGAGGGAGTTTCATCCATTCAAGAACGTCTTCAGTTCGGATCTGTGACAACTTGAAGAGCATCGCCATCTTGAGCGATATTTGGGTGTTGATCCATCATTTGGCTGCCCTTGCAGAAAACTTGTGTTCACACAAAATGGCCATGATGGCTGGCATAATATTTTGGAGATCCATTTTGTCGCCATAAGATATGGGAACTGTAGAGCCTCCAATTGCTTAGTTTTGCATGAAGGCACTCCATGGAGGGCTAACATGTCATTCTAGAAGGGGGTGTACTTCACCAGGGCTTTGGTCATTGACTTGACCGCTGTCAGGGTTTTGGCCCCTTCTGGTAGTATTTTACTTTTTTGATGAAACTTTTTGGGTGTCCAATCCTTCAGATTTATTGCCCAATACTCCTTCATACCCAATAGGAATCATCTCCAATGGTTCGCACTGATCCACCAATCAATTCTGGGCTGATTTTGCCTCCGCTGTTGACTTAGTTTTGTTGGGGATTGCACCTGATGGTTCATTGGGGATTATCCCTGACAGTTTACTCTGATTTATCAAACGATTCTGGGCTGATTTTGCCCCTCTGTAAACTTGGTTTTGTCAGGGATTGTGCCCAATGGTTCTTCAGAGATTACGCCTGGCCGTTTTCTCACTTTTTTCCTGTTCAATCATGGTTGAGGACCGTTTTCCCCCTGACTGGTAATTGCCAGGATTGGTCTCTGACATATTTTTGGGCGATTATTTTAAGGATCGGTGGGTATTTTCTCTGTCTCATTTGCAAACATTTTTTGTTGTTGCCCAGATGAACTGGGCCCTTGGCTTCTGCTGGTCAAATCATAGTTGGTATCCAATCCAACCAAAACTTTGTTGGAGTTATTTTGTTTTTTTTCAAAAAGTTTTTCTCCTGCGAGGCCCCAATCACTTCACCTATTTGAGGTTTGGTGGGAAATATCCCTGACGCCGTTGTTCTTGGTGTTGCTTCAGACTCCCCAAGGTCAGCGTCACTTATCTGATTTTTGGCAGAAACCAATCCTGTGGAGTCAGTTGCATTTGCTGTGCTTGTCACTGTGTTTTTGTAATTTTTTTTCAAGTTCAATTGTTTTTTGGTCATTCATGTTGCTGATTTGTTACTAGGGCCTTTATCGGCAGGAAGTTGTCCTGATGGTGCATCCATCTTGGCATACTTCATAATTAAAGTCATATTCGGTGTAAGCAGGCATATGTGTCTTTGGGCTTCGCACAGACAAGTGTAAATACCACCTACGCTAAGTAATATGGCAGTGTTGTAATATTCTATAGGTGTAGTACTTCACAGACAGTCAGATGTTCTCTCTATGCTTATACTAACCACTTTTAAATTAAAAATGCCATTTTTGATAGAAAGAACTTCTTTTAATCTGATTGCCCAGGATTGACCAGGGATCTAAGGATATCCACAAATCACAGTCCTTTGCTTTTCCAACTGAGCTACAATTTGGCATGCTAAGGATGTCAAACTAATTTATACTAACCATTTAAGCTCAGCAGGCTTTAATCCCATTGCCAACTCCATGTGAAAATAATTGTAGAATTCTGGAAAAAAGTCAAATCTTATTTGGATACCGTTAACTTATGCCAAGGATGCCAAACCATTTAATATTAAATAATTAAAGTTGAATTGTATTTTGACTTTGTGAGAGTATTGGGAACAATTCCCAACAGTATTTTGGTTTAATTTGACACCAGCGACTTATGCTGAGGATGTCAATATATTTAATTAATTCAGATTCTGACGAACCTTGGATAAACGTAATCATGGACATTTGAGGATGATGAGTATTGCCAGTGAGAGTGCTGATGAATACTAAACATGAAGAATCACCAGTGAGTGCTGATGATGCTGGCAATAAATGCCAATGATGTGGACAGGCAAGAAATGCCTATAATTGGTTTGATCTTCCTCTTAATATAAATATCTTCTAATCTTAAAATCTTCAGATTTTCAAATCTAATATTTGTTTTCACATCTTTATTAAGTTTTTAGTTAACAGTAGTTAGCTTAGCTTGTAATTGTGGGACTCAAGGTCCCCAGTTGTTAGGTGCTGGGGCAAAACACCTGGAGTGGTCGGTGCAACCAACTCCCAACCTTGAATTAGATGGAAACCCCACGGGAACTTGAGCAACAAGCAGCAACAATGAAGGACTGGAAGGATTGAAGGGGAGTAAACCTGAGGGAGTCAATAGAGGCCACTGAACCACAATTGATGGACATGTCCCAGGAGAGGACCTCTGAGCTATAACGAGTGGTCATGCCTCAGAAGGAGAATTTGGTTTGCTAGATTGGTAGGTTGCCTGTAAATTTGTAGGGAAAGGTCACCAATGATTGTGAAAAAGCAAGGGCCAGCAGTCTTCATACTGTTTGGACTGGCACACTAATGGAGTCACCTAGTATTGATAATGAAAAATCCTCAAAGGGTACATCAAAAGTGTTGGCGCAACGGTGGAGTTGAATTAGCAGCTTATTTATGGCATTCTAAAGTATTGAAACTGGTATCATAGCCTAATATAAGTCCCTATAAGGCACATGGGTATGGCAAGAAGCAAGCATAGCATCATAACGACTTAGAACCTTGATCCCATATACCACCTGAGCCTCAGAGTAAAAGCAAGTGGTCTAATCTATAACTTCTTACCTCTTCTATAAATTATATAGAGAGGAATAAGGCGGTTTTTGCTTATCATCAGTCCCACACAATCAAATTTATTGACAACGATGCCTTTAGGAATTAGTGTGATACATGCCAACTTCAAAAATATTTGGCTATATCAATTATTGATTAATGGGGTTTAACAAGTTCAGTAACTTCGCCATTTTGGCCTGGTCATCCGTATAACCCATAGAAATTTTAAACAAATGCGAGAAGAAGTAATGCTCCTTTTTTTGAATTTAGAAAGGTCAGCAGAGTTTGAAAGATGTTAATTTAAAGCGCTTAACTCTGGTTAGAGGAGCAATGAACCTACCAAACAACAGATATTGGCAGTTTAAGATATGGTATTAACAAGAGCAGATGCCTCTAAATTAGTGCCTTCAGGCATTTTGGGAGCAGTGCTAGGAATGGCTGATGGGGTAGCCTGAGATGGGGGATTCCAGCGTATTGCTTTGGCAGGAAATAATAGTTTGGGTGGTAAAGTAAAAACAGTAAGTAAGATGAGAACAACCACCGCCTCATTGTTTGGGATTTCAGTTTAATTTAAATTATTATCCAAGCAGGCACACACATGACCATGGGGTAATCTCCGCTATGACTTATCTGTATCTTCATGATTTATACTTAAGTTCCTGTCAAACTTAGTGTAACAATCTAGTAGATTGGTTATGATTCACCTCAGAATGTTGTTCACCCATTCCAAGTTTCTAAATAGAAACAAAAAGGCGCAAAAAAGTCTTCAAATCCTGTTCTTGATATTAGAATTGAAAATGCAAAATTTTAATCTCCCAATAAATATGTGAGAGGTAGGTCATTGATTCCTTCAGTGTTAACTCTAGCTGTCAAGAATGCGTTGATTCTTCTACATAAAGTATGCTACTTTGGATTTAGCCACTTCAGCTTACAAAATAATTATAATCCATAGTTAAACAGTAGGTGTACATGAAAGTAAAAAGTGCCCCTGCAGTGTGCCACAAATGTCGCAATTAGCACTTTAGCAATATTTGTAGTTAGCACAAGCAGGTTGCACTAAACTAACAGGCATTATGTATGATGACATAACCTTAAAAATGAGGAGGATAACCAAGCCTGTTGCCAGAAGGTTTTCCATATTTAATAAAATTACGCACACTGTAGTATCTTGTACTGATGATGTAAGGGCTTTCAAGTGGTATTTTTTGTTATGATGGCTTCGAAAAAACCAAATAAAAATCCAAAATATCCCTTTTCTATCCACATTCCCTTTAATTATGTATGAATTAAAATACCTGGTTCTTGGAGGTACCATATCCTTGGTAATAATCTGCTCTTAGGAATATCAGGTGAGTACATGATTGTATTGGAAAGGCAGGAAATAATTAAACCAAATAGAACCAATTTTTACCATCTTAAGAGACAAGGCCACTTTTCCTTCCTGTTACTATACCTATTAGTAACGATATTCTAAGCAAATTATCTGAAATTGACAATCAACCAGGAAAATGAGCAGATTTGTCCGCACCAACACCAGTTGGGCAAAAGTGGCCAGCGCAAAAGGCCCTAAGCCCACCCAACCCATCGGGGAAAAATGTTCTGGCAGTACATTGGGACAACCTCCCCCAAAAAAGGGTGAGCATAGCGCCGCACCCAGAGTTTTGCAATTTCTGCAAAAAATGGGCGCTTTCACAAAGATCAAAAACTCCCAACCCTTGTCCTCCCTCAAGCACAGCCTTAGAATTATGGTTGGCAATACTTCCCTCAAGTCATGGGAAAAAATGGGGGAGGCCTTCTCCACGACTTTCCCAAACACCATTTTGGTAAATTTCAAAAATTTACATTGAGGATGGGTGGATGTTGTGTTCATGACCGCAGAGGAAGAGGAAGATGCAGCAAAAACCAAATTTTCTGTTAAAATTAACAACAAAGATCACATTATCTGCATAGTGCGCACACAATTGAATGAGGCAAATGACCTATTCATCATATTTGACTGACTCCCAAGCACCATGCACCATAAAATCCTTGAGGACGAGCTCCACATGGGCCTCAAAAGTTATGGCGAAATCAAACAATTTGAATTTAAAAAAAAAATTCCCCTCCTGCCTCACCTGTGTACAGGGAAGGCAATAGCCATCATTAAATCTGACCAGGACGTGGTAGAGGATATCACCCTCATTCCATGCATGGCGACCATCAACCTCTCCAATGGCAGCATTTCTCATCCCTTCCACATCACACCAGAACACACCCCGCCTATCTGCAGCTTCTGCTCAGCTCTAGGCCACAAATACCATGCATGCCCTGTCAAGTGTGGGATTGAAGCACCATAATTTTATGAGGGTGATATAGATGAAACGAGCTCAACCTTTGGCAAAATGAAGGATGTCACTTACACCTTCCATTGGGGCAAAAGAGCCAAATCACTTTGGTTGAACCTGTTTTTCACAAGGATTGTTGTCACGCACAGGCTGCCCTCAAGCAGGCCACAAGTTCTGCCAAGACCCAAGCTCGCACCACAATTTCCTCAGACCAGATTCAGTTGGATGTCATCGTAGTGCAGCGAAATAACCAATCAGGTACCTCGCATAAAACCCAACAAAATCAAAGTGATGAATTTTTCAAACACAACCAATCAAACTCCTCCAACCACACTGAAGCAGAACCACCATGCACCACTGTAGATCCTCCTAGCCAATCACATGTGATCAGCGACAATGTGGTTCATGAGTATGATATGAAAGATCATCCCAGCCAATCAAAATGTGACAACGCTCCTGCACAAACCCCAATTACCCCAACACCTAGTTTCTGCACATCTAGCCCACAGGTAAGTAGCAGAAAATTTTACGCTGATGGGGCACAATACAACCCACGCCAGAGCTGAACTCCATGGAGTAATCCAATCCCAAAGAAACCAAACAAAACCAATACTACAACTGCTGATCAACATGCTGGAACCAATATGGCTGATCATCCTCAGACTCATAGTATGACCTGGGCTGCTAGGGAATGGGGCGACCCCAGTGGGTCGCCCCAACATTCCTGATGTGCAGATTACCACAATCACCATAGGGATGCTCAACATCGTGGGAGCCAAGGCCCCCACGTTTCAGGCCAAAAAAATGGCTTTCCTGCGTGATATCCCTGTGGACATCTTGGCCGTCCAAGAACCCCACTGTCCACTGGGGGAGGAGGAGTCATGGTCAACCAGCTCCTTCCGGCTAAATCCTTTTGGACATACCACTGTGAGGTGGTAATTCGATCTAACTGTAATCCTCCAGTAAATATCTAAAGCACATCCTCCCACCTGGAGGGATGGCTGCTCCTAACAGTTTCTGAGTGGAATGGAGAAAATTTTGCCGTGGCGTGTGTGTATGCCCCAAATGATCCAAACAACCGCAAAAATATTTCTCTGATATCCTCTTGATCCCTTTTGCTGAGGCAACATTTTTCGCGGGAGATTTCAATTGCTGGCTTAACGACATAACTGATCATTGGCCTAAATCAAATGCCATACCCTGCGACCACATGGAACTACTCATACTAAAGGCAACGCTGGCCTGTATGACAATATCCCCAAACAGGCCACCACGTTGGCCAACATGAAGAGGTCCCACTACAACAATAACTAGCTGGTCTCAATGACCGCATTGACCTGATGCTCGCCCCTGTAGACTTTCATCACCATGTATCAAATTTTACAACAACAATTATCCCTTTCTCTGACCACTGAATGGTTATAATAACATTATCATCCATGGCAAAATACCAAAAGCCAATGACCTGGCACAAAGTTCACCCAAGCACCATC